TTCTGGTAGTCAAGGAAGAAAGAGAAACTCATTGAATTCATAGTTATCATTGATGAAATATCTTCTTGTATTTGCTTCCAGGGAATCATGCTTGTTGGAGATGGATACAGAGGGAAAACTTCACCCCATACACCCAATGAGAAGTTTGAAGGGGCAACTGTCCTGAAAGCACTCAAAGTAAAGTCTTCACTTCTTTTGGGTTTGAGTTCCTTTGTGTCAATCAAGACTTCTGTAAATGGTAGATACAGGAAAGAGAAAAGTTTATAATATATACATATCGGGACAGTTGTAGGAAAAAATATGAAATGAAACCTTCATTGTTTTTAATCATTTCTTCATTCAGCCATCAGTTTATCAAACTTTACATTTCCTAAATTTGTACCTGGCCAAAAACATACAACCTTTGTCCTTAAGGAGCTCATGATCTAATAGTGAAAATATACCCAAACAAGTAATTATCCTCTACTGCAAGAAGAATTGTTAGAGAGGAATGTAGAACATACTATGATAGAAGAGAGGAAGGAGCCAATTAGCTTTTAACTTTCCCTCTGTGATGGGGAACACCTTATTCCAATGGCTTATTGGCCTAACCAAAATCCAGAAGCATGTAGTAATATTCCCCTTAGTCCCTTAGTCAACACAAAGATGATCTTATATTGCCTTAATGACACCTAGTACCTATTTTTCTCAAGTCCTCCAATCAACTCAACGGTTCCTCATGTTCTTTTTTTCTTTTTTCAGTTTGGTTACGAAGGCCGAGTCCCTCTGAAGAGTGCCCGTCTGTTCTATGACATCAGTGAGAAGGCGAGAAAGATTGTAGAATCCTATTTTATGCTGAACTCAACCCTGTATTTTTCCTACACACACATGGTCTGCCGAACAGCCCTGTCTGGTGAGATTCCAGAGTCTGAACTTATTCCCTTCTACTCACAATGCAGTGGGAAATAAAACAATGCAAAACAAAGCTCTATTGCATTTTAGACAAGATCTAGATTTCTAAAGCAAAAGAAGCTTACAAACTCTTATTCTCCCATCCCTCTTTTTCTCCTTTTTGGTTCTCTAAAGTTCCAGAAGACTGCATGTTTCTCCCTTTCAAATTAATATTTCCTAATTGATGAAGTCATGCAGAAAAAACTGATTTTCTGCTCTAGGTTTCCCTTTTGGGGGAACGAGAAACAGGGAAATTACAGTGGCCTTTATGTCCGCAAACACCGAGTGGAAGATAGAAGATGAAAGGGTTATTGAAAGAAATGTTCTTAGAAAGGCAGAGACCCCTACACTCCCTGCTCATCATTATTCCGTCTTTATGTTTTCTCTTCCATGCACCTGAATAGGAGGGGAAGGATAATGTCACAGGAATAGACTTCTATACTTGTGAAATTGCAGCTGAATCAAAATCTTTTTTTATTTCATCCTTGTCCTTTTGCTGCCCCAGGTGAAGTGCAACCTATGAAATGTATGGAATTTGTAAATGGATTAATATACTTATATTAGAGAACTTTTATAGCTGAAGAGACAGGTGTGACTTTCTCAAGGTTTCACATCGAGTTCATATCAAAACCAGACAGAGTCTCTTGACTGCTTGTCCACAGAAGACTATACTCAGTCATCTGTCTCTCCACATTTGCAAAGGACGCCAGGAATGGAAGAAGACAGGCAGATTGTCAGGTTTTTTTGTTGGAAGTTACCGCACTTTATCTCTCATTCTTCCCTGTACCCTTTTATGGCAGGTCAACAGGACAGAAGAAATGACCTCAGTCATCCCATCCATGCTGACAATTGCCTGTTGGATCCAGAAGCCAATGAATGCTGGAAGGAGCCTCCTGCTTACACATTTCGAGACTATAGGTACAGCC